TTCCACGTCCCCTGCGCCTCCGTCTGCCCCCTTCCCCAGGCTGGGCAGCTGGGGCTCGGGCTGCGGAGCGCCGGGGTGGGGGTTAAGCCTGGTTGCCGCTTCGGCCCGCGTTGCCCCCTCGGTCTCTGCACTGCCGAAGGGCCCGGGGGGATGGGGTCTTGGCCTATGTGGAGGTGTCCTGGAGTTGGGGCTGCCCCTTGTCCATGGACCAGGCCCCCTCGGCAGGGGGTGCGCGCGTGGGGAGCTCTTTGCGGGGAGCGCAGCCCAGGTGCCGCCCCCTCATCGGACCCTCCAGGCCCCGGGACTCTTGCTGAGGCTAATCACCAATTAAGGCGAAGTCCTGGAGCCCAGGCTGGCGAGGGGCCAGGGGTGGGGCGCGGGGACACTCCGCCTGCAGGGACTCAGGACCGGCTGGGTGGGGGACACGCATCGGACTAGAGGGTAAGAAGAAGCGGGCAGGTCCGCGCGATGATTAAATGGGTCTCTTGCAAAGGAGCTGCAAGCCCTCCTGCTCTTAGAGCCGGGGGTTTTAGAATTCACCTCTCTGCGCAGGATGGCAGGCCGTGCCCCACCCTACCCCCCAGCTGCTTACCGGGCCGCGGAGCCCAGGCCGGGGTCTCCTGCTCGCGCTCCCCTCTCTGATCCCCCTCGGTATGGCCAGACTCTGGCTCAGTACCCCCCGGCCCTAGGGGACGTCTCTTTGGGGGCTGCAGGGACAGAAAGACCGTAAAGAACCCGCCCTCCACACCCAGGCCGACCTCCCGCTTCCCGTTCTCTCTTCTGTCAAAACCCACATTGCTGTGGACCGGTCAGCAAGGCCGGGGTGGAGGGAGCGGTTCACCCACAACACGGCTAGGACCCTTGTGAAGGAACTCGGTGACTCAGGCGTGTTCCCCGCAGGGCTCCTGTTTGCGGGTAAACTGAGGTGTGGGGCGCAACCCTCCGGAAAAGTTCCTAAAGACCCCCAACCCTACAGCAACCCAACGCCTTTCTTACCCCGTCCTGCCCGGGCAGGGCGCATGCGCGAAGCATGCCCCCCATTACCCCCAGTATCCGGTCAGTGCGGCCAGGGGCGGGACGGTCTGGGGGCTTCATGCTGGACCCCTACTTTGCTCCAAGTTCCAGGGCCGAGGGGGCACGGAAGCTGGGGGGCTGCTAGGACTGAGAGCGTCCGGGGAGTTGCTGTTGCTGAATCCGCCCCCTGCCCGGCTCCGCCCCCACTCCCACCCCAGCCAAACTTCGCAAAAGGGGTAGGGTTGTTCCTCTCCCTACCACCACAGTTCAACAAACAAACCGCTCTTCATCCTGCTTCCAACGTCGTCGAAGCGTGACCTAGGGCTCCACTGGGTTAGGATGGAGCCTAAGAAGCACATCCCCGTTTCCCAGGCCCTCCCTCAGGAAGCAGAGACACTGGGAAGCAACCCAGGGATTCCCCTATCCCGGCCCCCCCCCCCCACCTCCTTTTCTTCTCAGTAGGCCTCACTCAGCTACCCCACCCTACCCGCACCCCACCCACGGACTCGAACGGGTGTGGCATAGAGTTGCATATTTTACTTTATTTTTATTAAATTAAAAGCTACAGTCTGGCGGTGATTCCAGAACAGGGGTAAGGAGGCTCCTTATAGGGGTGGGGGTGGGAGCAGAGAAGAGCAAGGGACAGACTGACAGAGACTTAGACACACACACACAGAGAAAGGTCAGGGTTAAGGTGGAACGTGGAAGGAGGCGCGGATCTGATGGGCACACAACTGGCAGCTCCCACCCTGCCACTGAAGCTCAGAGGGGGAGGGGATGCCAGGAGACACCCCTCCTCAACTCCCCCAGGTCCTTTCTCAGCTTTGTCACTGGAGCACAGCACATAGCAGATAAAGCCAGGGGCAATGGATCCGCAGGAAGCTGGCAGTATGTACAGGGGTGTGGGGGTAGGGGTGGTGAGCAGAGTCTTGGCCACCAGCCTCTGCCAGGAGGGTGTGGCTCACAGGACACAGAAGCACTTGGCCAGTGGGGGTTGGGGGGCAGGGGGAAGAGGAGAAGGGTAGGGTTGCCCTCTGGCATTCTGAACTCCCTTCCCAGTCAGATAGGTACCCCCTACTAGTATGGTGTGGGGGCTGGGGGAGAGAGAACAGAGGCGTCCATTGGGTCCTAGTGAAGGACAACAGCAGGGGCCTTGGCAAAGGGGCGTCCTTCAGTCATCTGTGATGCCCTTGGCTCTCAGTTCTTCTTGCACCCGGGTCAGGTAGGTGGGGTCCGGGTACCCAAACCTAAGGGCAAAGAGAGATGAGGCTCAGGGTCCACTGTTAGAGCTTGCTGCCCCTCCTCATCCTGGGTGACTCAGTGGAGTCAGACTCTCCCCACCTCCTCTGGGGGCAGGGAAGACTTCTAACCCAAGATGACTCTCAGCTCAAGGTGGCTTATTTAGTAAACTGGGCCCTCAGGACCAGGGGGAATGCTCGCAAGCAAAACTGGGTTGGGAAGACAGCTGAAGTTTGGGGGAGTGGTCCTCTCCAGTTAGGGGGCTCACTGAGTGAGGGGCATGACTGGCTTCCTGGATGTACTGGATCAAAAGGGGGGAGGAGCCTAAGGAAGGGGAATGAAGGGGTGTCGCACAGCTGGGGTCCCCCTGTGCAGCTGGTCTTGTGGTGGATGTCGTTCCAGGTGATGACATTCGGTCTCCCCGTGGTCATGGACGTGCCGATAGTGAAGGTGAGGCGCTGATCAAATGCCTTTCGGAACAGGGTCAGCACCTTGTTGCCCTCAGGGCAGTCGGGGAGGTAGGCCACCCGGGTGGTACCAGGATACCGAACACCTGGGTTTGGGTGTTCAGCCTGTGAGGGATGGGAAGCAGAGTGGGCAGTGAGCAGCTGGACATCCTGGGGCCCATGAGGGGACCCCAGGGATATGAACTGGAAGGACAACTCAAAGAGGGAACGAAAGACTCTGGGGCCTGGGGCAGCCGGAGGAGCCTGTTTCTGGAGTTCATCCCATTTTTCTCTGCTGTCTCAAGTGCCTCAAATCCCAATTCGGCTTCAAATGGATCCGCAGAAATGAGCGCGGGTAACTGGTCCTCAATGCTCCAAAAAACTCAGCCGACAAGTGAAGACTAAGACTAATTTCTCTGACGGCTTTTTCTTAGCCACCTGAAAACACAACCAATGCTTCTTCCACTGTCTAAGCAGTTCCATTTTCTCTAAAACCCTGGCTCAGCCAGCATCAGAATCAGACATGACTGTCCAGCACCGAGGCACCCGGAGACCCTTGACCGTTATCTGAGTTGACCTTCCAATGTTGTTAAGGTTTTAGTCTTAGAAATGTGAAAGAGTAAACACTGCCAGCCTGCCGGGAGGTCTTTTGGGCTGATCTGATCCCTCCCCACTGGGCCGGCCTGCACCTGAACCAGAAACTCCAGGACATTCATCCCTGCCAGGAGTAGTTGTCAACATCCCGGTTTGATTCCTTTCTCTCATCATACCTGATTTTTCATGTGTGCCTTGGGGTCACGGGGATGGAAAAGCTGGGCCTCAGGGGAGCCTCCTAGCTCGCAGACACTGAATAGGAAGGCATACTGGGAAGCGCAAGACTACCACATCTGACGACAAACACACTCACCCCTCTCAGTCTTTCTAGGTCAGAGAAGGAGCTTGGGGAAAAGAAAAGGGGACGAGCAGGCGGTGGTCTCCTTACCCCCTGGACACCAGGTGGGAAGACGTACTGGATGACAATGGTGCCATACTTCTCGTAGCTGGGCAGTAGGAGGGTGGCGTCCTTAGAGACCAGCATCCGCCCATTCTGGGGCTGGTTGCCCACCAGCTGCCCATAGAAGCGGCCGCACATGGGGCAGGCCTTTTTCACCTGCAGGGCCCTGGTGATGCAGCCCTCGCAGAATGAGTGCCGGCACTTCTCCAATGTCTTGGCATTCTGGATCTCTCCCAGACAGATGGGGCAGGTGCTCTCCTGCTCTTCGGCCTCCTCCCGAAGGCGTGGAGGGAGAGGGGGAGGCAGAGGAGGGGGAGGAGGGGGGATCCCTCGTGCCCCTGGGGGCAGGAGTGGGGCTGCTCGAAGAGGGGGCGGGCCTGGGCGGTGCAGCTCGGGGTGCTCCCCTCCACCCCCCAAAGCCACGCAGCCCATAAGCTCCCCCTGCCTCTGAGCTTTCTTCAACTCCTTCTCGGCCTCTTTCAACAGCCCCTTGAGAGCCTTCCGGGCCAGATAGAGCCCATTGGGCTGGGCTGGGGGTGGGCCTTGCGGGGAAAGTTGAAGGACATAGATGTCGGAAGTCTCGCCATCTATGAGGATGGACACACGGTGCTCCTCCCGAAGCCGCGCCAGCCGGGCTGGGGTCTCCTTGCTCAGGAAATCCCACACGGGCTTGGAGACAGTCACTTTGTTCTTGCAGGTGCCTCCACAGGCTGCCATTCTGGACAGGACGAACGACACTGCCCCCAGGGTAAAAGGGACTCAGGGTGGGGGTGGGGGTCCCCAGTTGGCAAATATACATGCCTCCCACTTCAGAGTCTGTATTACCTCCATCCTCTGGAATCCAACCCTAACCCTCCCCTGAATTCACTTTTGGATTTTCCCAGCACCCGCTAAGGAACAAGAAAGTTCCTCTCACTTTATCATCTCAGGCAAATGACCAACCTAGGTTCTCCTCACACTTCTCCCATGATGGCAGAGATGAAGGAGAGGGCCCTCCCCACACCCCTCTGGGTGAAAAATGGGCTCTTTCAAGGGGAGGGGGACTTTTTGACCCTCCCTTTTGCTCACTTTGATCCTGAAGAGCTTAGAATTGGCATGCAGGCGCTCTCTCTTTCCCTGCTCCCTACTTGTGAGTTGTATGACCTGGTTGGGGTGGAAAGGAAAAGGAGGGAAATGAGAAACTGCTCCCCCCAATTCCCACACACCCCTACCCAGCAGCCCATGTAATGCAGGAGCCAGGTCTGTGTCACAGGCCATGGGATTACTCGGGAGGTGGGATGGAGGGGACCAGGTTTCAGATGAAAGGTGAGGTCTCCTTGGTGCAGGTACCTGGAAGGCCCATGGACGAGGCTACAGCAGAAATCGCTCAATTTCCACACTCAGCTGACCAGGACTAGGGGAGAGGGCAGGATTAGCATGACCAATGTTGTCATTTTCCTCAATCAGCCCAGAAACAAAACAAAACAGGCCAAAACAAACTTCTCTTCCATCGGAGCTCCACCCACAGACTCTTTCAAAATTGTTAAGAAAGGAACTTATCATACTAACCTCCCTTCTTTTCTTCCCCAGTTCTAAGGCCCTCAAGAAAGTCTAGGGCATGAATCAGGAGTGTGGAAGTCTACTCCAGGGAGGTCTTCCCTGCCACCTGCCTCAGGGCTCATGGTTGGAAGATGTCCACTGCTCACTAACTCTCCACCTGCTCCACAGTCCCAGCGCCCCCAACTCCCAACCTCAGTCCCTAACTCAGTCCTTTCTGTTGAAGTCAGTTAGGAAAGCAAACAAAGTGGCCACAGCCCCTGCAGTAACAAAGTTCTCACTGTCACCGTCCAAAGGCAGACTGTATCTATGCGGGTGGGGCTCACCCCGGGCTCCACTGGAGGGGCCTGCTGTTCCCCCTGAGTCATGTCATGTTCAGCTGCTATAGGGTTGCTCCCACACCTCTGAGTGCAGCTCCAATGGAAAGGGACCGTGAACATGACCTCAATTCCTTGACCGATTGGAAGGGGGGCAGCTGCCCATTTGGGCCTCCATCATAGTCCCCCCCAAGGCCGGATTCGCTCGGAGACTCAGAAAGTGAAGCTTGAGGCCTGGGACCTCACTCTTCACAGTCTCTCCTGAGTGGAACCTCCCCCTCTCCATCCCCAGGACGCCCGGACCGGACCTAGGTGTCCTAGCTCCAAGTCCTGCTGGCACAGACCAGGGAGGCGGGGCCACAGTTTATGCTGGGGTTTTAATTCCTCCTGGGCAGCCCGGGCGGCCACCGCGCCAGTCCCTCCCTCCAGACAGATGGTAGCTGCAGGGGAAGCCAGAAAGGGCAAGGGTCCCCGGGGACATTCACAGAGGCAGCTCCCCCCTCCCCCGCCCATGCCTCCGACAAGAGTGGGGGTGCAGAACCAACCACTCACATCCCCTCTCCCGGAGGCCCAGGCGACCCACTGCAGAACGGGGCTGCCAGCGCCTGCCCGCGGGCCCAGAGAACCCCCAAATAGAGGCCATGGCTGGAGGATGGGGAAGAGTATTGGCGGGGCCCAGAGGCCCCCCCAGAGCTGCGCGCGCGGGAGAGGGGGCGAAAGAGGGGTAGCAAGGGGAGCGGGGGTGGGGCGCAAGGGGGCGCGAGCGGGGTAGAGGGGCGCGCGGTGGGTGTGAGGGACGCCGGGCTCACCTACCTCTCGTCAGCGCCGCCATTGCCGGTCACATGACTGAGGCTGTTGCTGGGATGACGGTCCGGGCCTTAGCAACAAGGGGCGGGGGGAGACCCCGAACCGGTGGGGAGGGTTGCAGGGGGTGAGACTGGGAGAAAGCAAGGGAGGGAGGAGTGCACCCCCATCCCCCTCACAGGTGACCCCACCGCTTCCTTGATGGGCCCTTTTGATCCCGGAGCCCCTGCCCCTCCGCCCCAAAACAAAAATGGAGGCTGCGTCCCAGGCTTGGGGTGCGGGGGGAGGGAGGGGATGGGTAGGAGGTGAAATCCCTTCGAGAAGCCGCTGCCACCCCGCTCCCTTTCCTTTCCCAGCCAGCTGCAAGGCAGCTCCGCGGAGCCCGGGGCGGGGGTCGGCTTGGGGCGTAGGTCGAGGCGGGGAGGGGACCGCTCGGAGAACACTGCGGGGGGGGGGGACCTCAGATGAGAAAGGAAAGCTCTGGTTCTCAAAATGAAACAAACCCCGGTTCTGAACCGCTCCCGCGCCCGCCCTGTCTCCCGCTGGTGCTAGACCGCCCGCCGCACCCGCTCGGGGCGGGCCTCTGGCGGTTCTCGTCCACGAGCGGGGCTAAGCTGCTGTCGAATGGAAAGTGAGTTTTCCTGTTTTGATTTAAACGGCTGGCGGTGGTGGCGGCTTCAAGTCTACGGTTCAAATAGAGTTAAAAACTCTCGCTGGGGG